GAAGAGCGTGCAAGATGTATTTCAGCTCAGCCAAGCAAATGGAGATCTGACCAAGCAAGATCTAAACCCTGCTGATGACCTGCATTTCCCAGTCAAAATACTGTAGTGCTATTTCTATAAGAAATATTCTGGTTCTCTAGATGCAAGTGAAAGGGGGGACATTGTCTGGCTTGTAAAGGTCTGTAAGGGTTTTCCTTCGAATAACAGAACAAATCACAGTTACTCTAAGTGCTTATTTGTGTTTTCCAGCGTATGTCCTTCCAATGAAATTGGAGATGGAGATGATGATTCAGCAATATGAGAAGGCAAAGGTTATTCAAGATGAGCATCTGGAAAGACTAACCCAGATCTGCCAGGAACAAGGGGTAAAGTTCAGTTTGTCTTTATTTACACATAGCTATCATGGCAAAACAAGCAGTTCACATACTTTGCAGCAAGCTAAGGTTTGAGAAATGTCACTGTGACTTCTTTTGTAAGGTGACAGGTCTCAGTGTTAAGGAAGTATTAGCTGCAGCCAGGGTGTTGTCAGCATGCTGTTTGTCAAACAGCAGTTGGCTCTTTCTGCTGCTGTGGTTGTGTTTCCTGAGGTGAGGAAAATAAGTGTGAGGAACAGCAAAAGAATGTTTCCAGCAAGTAATTTATTGAATGAGTACAGATAGCTTGACAGAATACTGAGAACATGCAGAAGTCATTGCCACTGTTGGAGGGTGCAGCTCCATCAAGGCCATGTCCTAGGAAAGGTGCATGTGTTGGAAGCTAATGAATCTCCCTGCTTTAAATGCAGAAGACATCTTCCCTCTTATGTCAGTCAGAGATTCTTCTGGCAGACTCAGGATGTTGCAATAGAAGCTTCTAGCTGCTGGAAGCAAGTCAAGACTCTTCCCAGGCCCCCAGGTGTTCAGTGACTCAGTCTTAAGGTAAGGGAAGGTGAAGTTTAAAATCTCTCAAATTAATATATTTACATGAAAAAGGTGTAAAAGCACTGTTTGGGCAGTGAGCCAGGAGATTTTGCATCTTGTCCTATGCACATGGGCAGGGCACCATCAAACCACGACAGAATGACCCCCAAGTGACTTTTTGTTTCAGATGTGAGGGTAACCATGTGGTGTCCAATCCTAGAGATTGCAAGGTTCCCACTCCACTTGTGGTAGTTGCTTTTCAAATACAAAATGAAGAGACCTGAATGACTCAGTCAGTCATAAAGTTGAAGCACCTCAGCAGACAGGAGGAGGGGCAGTTTGTTCCAGAACAGACCAACTGCCCAAAAGTTGCATAATCTGAAGCAGGGATTTAGGTGCCCATCTTTTACTGATGCCCCTAAAATACTTCTGAAACCATCAGTTTTTAGGTCCTCAAATGGCTTTTTAGATTTAGTTCCAGCTCTCCTGCACCTGCATCTCAACCTGGGATTCTGCAGTGAACTCTTGGTGGTGCGAGGTTGCCTTGTCCACGTGATGAGTTTGGAAGACCTGTTGACAGTGTGTGTCATTTCATAACACTGTGTTAGACAGTCTCTCATGTTAACCATAACAAATTTCTAAATTTCAGGCTTTACTTTAGCCAAAACTTGGTTATTTCCAGCTATATAAGTATCTTCAGCGGCAGAACTGCAGTTCTTTTGATCACAACTTTGCACAATGTAATTAAATTATTGATGTTTCTATCATAGTTGTGAAATGAATAGGGAAGTGGCATATACCCCATTTTACAGGGAGAGCACAAACCAAAAGCATTAAAAAAACTAAAAAAAACACAAACTAAAAGCATTAGGCAAATCAGCCATTTCTTGAGTCCTGGTGAAGTATTTTGTGTGCCAGACCATGCTGTTAGACTAAAGTTCTTGACAATCACACATTGCAAAACATTCTTGCTTAGGAAATGCACTATGCAGCTCTAGATCTCTAAACAATTTTTGGTGGTGTTATTTCATAGTCTTGGAATAAATGTGGGTTTGTTATCCCAAGTGGTGGCAGTAGCAGATTTTGCCACTCTCCATACTGATCCATGTACCTGCATGTATCTGCATGCCTGGCTTGCAAAATGTCTGAGCCTTAATCTGAGCTCTGATGGTTGCAGTTTAGCTGTACATCAAGCACAAAGAAATACTGCAGTGGTAGATTAGTCAATCTGTGAAAACACAGCAGGTTCTCTCCTAGCTTTCAAGTGTCATCAGCTATGGAGAAATATGGAGTATAGAAAAATGACAGCATAATCATTCTCTCATTTTACAATTCTGACTTTTTGCCAAACAAATGTCTCAGCTCTATAGTATGAGGTAAATGTACTAATTTGCCTCAGTTAGCAACATTGACACAAGTTCTGCATCCTTTCTTCATAAATTAATAGCTTCATAATTCAGTCAAGTACAAGTTGTCAGCATTGTAATACTCACATTATCATTGTGAACAGTTTCTTGTGGGAAAAATGTCTCCTAATGGTATTTAATGCCTCAAATTCTGCCAGGTCTTTGCTTTTTTCATGTGATCACCTTTCCTAACCTTTTTAAAGGGTTGCTCATTTGTGTGCAAATCTGTGTTTCTGAGTGAAGGGTTGCCTACAAAAGTCTGGCTGTTCTCACTATCTGGAGGGCCAGCAGGGAGGATTCCAGTTTGCCCTGTCTGTGTGGTGCCACCTCTGGCAGGGGCAGATGGAGTGGCTGGGAGCTGCCCAGAGGGGTGACCTGGAGCCTTGGATATGTGCACACCAGTTCCAGCCCAAAGAGGAAGAAAGGGCAAGGCACCATGACTGCTCACATTCCAGCAGTGGCTGTAAATCCTTATTCATCCTGAGGCTACATCTTTGTGACCACACTGATGATTTCCATTTATTTAATAATAATAGACAGGACTGAAAATATTCCTCTTAGAAAGATTTCCCAGCACTTCCTTTTCTGAGATCCTGTGTTTGGTTTCTTACTGCTTTGCCAGTTGTCAAGCAGTTGCAATTGAAATTCTCCAGGTTTGGCATTTTCTGCAGATGAAATTATTTTGAAAGGTTCAGACAAAATATTTCTGAAGAGGAATTGGGGAAAAAAAAATAGCCTGTTTTGTTGTGGATTTAAAACAAATAATTGTCCATGCCCTTCTGTTTTGGATCTGTTAACATTTGACTGTCAAGAATGGAGTTCTTTAAAAAGATAAAAGCAGGAAAGATGCAAACTCCATCTTACCTTTTGAATTCTGTTTTTGTCAGTTGTATTTTTTTTTGGCCAGTGATAGGGTATCACAATTATAAAGTACATTTCCATTCCCAAGCAACACTGGAGATGTACTTTTACAAACAAGAAAACTCTTTCCAGATGTTGATTTTTGGCTAGCCTTACATCTGAAAACCAGAATATATTTTATAAATTATAGCTGCATGGACCAGCAGTTTGTTCTCTGCAGTACCCCACTGGAACTGTTTGAATAGTTTACTGTTTTATTTATTCTCCACTAGCCAAGAAAGAAGTCACGAACAAGAGTGAAACATGAGGGCAGTCAAGGCAGAAAATGCTGCAAGGGTTGAGGTGGCTGTGCAGGGCTTCACAAAACATGAGAGACATCAGCAATCACAGCACCAGGGATTTCTAAAAATGGGTGAAGGTAAAAGCTAAAAAAGTCTCACTGCAATTACTATCCAAAATTTGAACAAAGTATATTGCTGATGGTATTGTTCTATCAGAATAACTTCTATTGCAAAACAAAGCTCCAAAGTTTCAATAACAATGCAAGTTCCAGTCAGGGAAGATTGCTTTTTTCCTCTGGACTCACTTGTAAAGGAATTTCTGTTTCTGATAACAGATCTACTTACATGACTTTTTCTCCTTAATTTTCCTAAGTCATTCAGCTGAGTACAGTCCAGCAAAGATTCTTTGTTGAGCCTAATCACAAGAGCTCCTTGTCTGTCAGCTCCTATAGAATTTGAGTTTTTCATCATTCTTAGAGGTGCAACACCTATGGAAGCTATAATTTCTTTATCTTGGAATATAATTTGTACAACAGTTGCTAGTTTAATGACAGGGCTATTTAGCTGGTAAAATTACCTATCAAAGCAATAACTTACGTTATCCTTTTGCAATAATTTTAATTTATTTCTAACTACCGAACTTTTTCTTGGTGAATGGAAGGCAGCCAAGGTCATCCCATGTTTCATTCTGCCCGTAAATCATTAGTTTGCAACTGTTTTCTGATTTTTATTGGTACCAACAATGGCTAAACTTAATGGAAATAAACATTGGATTGTGTCCCGGTGGCAGAGGAGTTTTAGAGCAGGGTATTCTGTACAGACAGTACTAACAGAACTGAGCTAAGTTATTTCTTCTGCATTAGACATGAGGATATGAATAGGCTTCTGGCTAAAATGTTAATTGATCTCTCTGAAACTGTCAGTCATACTCTGTTGCTAGAGCATTAAAAGAAACTACTCTCTGATTCTCTGCTGCAGCCCTTTTTGAGTCTTATGTGTTGTAAAATTTCAGATAGGATGGGTGGCTCATTTTATAAAACCAGGCATGTATACAGAGATGTTACCTAAAGCTCTGGGTTGGTCTCTGTCATTTTATCTACTTGTAAATGTTCATCTAATGCATTCTTTGAGTGAGGAAGTGCACAGGTTTGTGCTACAAGAGGACACATAACATTTTTGAAAACACCAAGCTTAAATTTACCCTCTATGGACTTTCTTTTCATGCCTTACAATCTAGTTACTGGTTCTTACATGAGATGGTCTCTATCAAAGTGTATTTTTGCATTAGCCACGGGTATTAACCTTTACTGGCATCTTCAGCTCCCTCAGGAGAGGGGGCAGCCAGGCTCTCCTCAGAAGTGCACGGTGACACAGTACACAAGCTTGGAATGTGCAAAATTCCTATTAAATATGAGAACAAACTTTTTAACTAGCAGAATGGTCAGGCACTGGAGCAGATTGCCAGAGAGACTATTGTGTGTACAACCTTTGAGATGTTAAAAAACTAACAAAACAGGTTTTTAGCAGCCTGAGCTAGGTGGACTTGGTTTAAGTGTGGTTTTGGACTAGCTGACCCTCACGGGTTCATTTTAGCCAAGATTATGCTGAAGTTCTCAAATACATTTTTTCCATTGCAAAGTACATTAGGAGCTCATTGATAAAAAAAGCCACCAGAAGCTACCAAAGTGTAAGTAATTAATGAGTATTGTAGATATCCTGGAAAAGAATGTCAGTAGCAGTCTCAAGTGGACCAGTGTGCAGTTTGTCATTATCTAGAGTCAGGAGATGGTTCTCTTTAGGCTCCTTGATCGCCACAAATTGTCTTCCACACACCAGCATCATTTGCCCACTGACTCTCTGTGGGATTTACGTGGTTCTTAACACAGAGCTGACAGCCATGAGTAAGAACTTAAACTGATCAAAGCATTTGTATAGATGTATATGCTTCCCCCTTCTGCCCCCCCTCACGTTATGCATAATATACATCCTTCTGTACAGGCTGAGGGAAGGATGAAATTCTTTTAGTGTGAGACACTGGCCCAGGTTGCCCAGGGAAGTGGAGGAAGCCCCATCCTGGAAGTGTTCAAGGGCAGGTTGGATGGGGCTCTGAGCAACCTGGTCTAGTGGGAGGTGTCCCTACCCATGCACGAGAGTTGGAACTAGATGATCTTTAAGGTCCCTTCCAACTCAAACTTCTGTGATATGATTCTATGATCTACCTGAAAATACAAAGCATAGTTTTCCTCAGCACAGCTCTCCTGCAGCCCTCTGTATTGAAGAGGTTCAGGGTTACAGTCAGATAGCTACATCAGCTCCTACTGCAAATAGAATTTTCACATGTTTAACTTGGCCTAGAATTTTTACTCTAGAGGACTCTTATATTTTGTACCTTTCAGTGATTTATTTAACCTGCCCTGGACTGCATGACATGCAGTCAGAGCAATCTCATTAGCTCTTCTACACATTAGAACTGCCCAAGGTCAGTGTTCAATAGATATAAGCACCTACAACAGAATTTGCTCCTGCAGTCTCTCATGGAAGTACACCTGGAAGGAACACCGCTTATCTTAGACCTAACCTTTTTTTACTGGGTTGCTTTTAGTGGCTAAAACTATTCCAGGTTCTATAATACCTTGGAAGAATTTTTAAGTAATAATTGTAATCAATTAATATTGAACTGATCTCCTGGGTAGATGCATACTTTTTGTGAGCAAAAATCTGTTTCTTGCTTAACTTTTCCTAGATGTTTTATTGAATGTCCCTTCATCTTCTTAAATCAATCCTTACAACCAGTCCCTTTTTGGACATTCTAGAGACTTAGAGATTTTGGGTTTGCATTTGGAAGCAGCATATTGGGTTGAGTTTTGGCTCTGTCTTATGCTCTGTCTCTAAAAGAGTTACAGTTCTGCACCTCTGTGGAACAGGTTGTATGGCTCACTTGGCATCAGGAACAGGGAACGTGGGAGTCAGACAAACACCAGTATTACCCACTTCTCTGTCAATTAAAAAAAAGGACAGTTACACAGAACAGGATTGAATTCTAGCTTTCCACTGTTCTGAATGCTACACAGACTTCTGGGCAAAAATGAATGGGACCTGGAAGCTGACCATCTGAGGTAATGGAGAGGTGGAAGGAAGAGCCTGTGTTAACCAGCTGGTTTGTAGACAACATCAGTTTCTGCTGTTACCTTTCTGAACATTTCTGTGTGTTACTGCTCCCTTGTGGAAGATATTGAAGTCCAGTGCTCTGTGCTGCTTTACTGTGCCTAGGAGTCATAGCTGCTCTTGACAGTCTCATGTTAAGCTGTGCATTTTTGACCACCCGAACTTGATTAGTGTTTAGAGCTGAAAGTAAGATAAGCATGTGGATTGTGTTTGCAGCTAGCAGTAAAAGATGTTCACATATATCTTAAAAATTTGCAGGGCCTGCATAGCCTCAGGCAGTGGATAAGGGAAGCGTTGCATGAGCCAAGACATCAGGTCCGGGTTTCAGTTTCTGCTAGAATGTGACATTTGAGCCATCTTTAAATGCAGGTGCTTCCTCTGCTGCCGTGGGCACCAGAATGTATTTCGGTCTTTTAAACATAAGATGGCAGCAAAGCTCCTTCTGCTTTTGACTTTACTGTACGAGCTGCTCTCAGTAACTGTGGTAGATGTTTTCTCCGTAGGTTCCAGTTTCTCATGCTGTCGGAGTAGTTGGGATTCAACCAAGATAATAATTTTTCCCTTAAAAGAAGTAAAGAATTGTTTGGACAAAGTGTAGTTGTCTACCTTGGTGATCCCAGCAGTGGTTGCAGACTACTACTTGGTCCAGCATGCCAGGCTGAGTAGCTCATAGCTTGTTGGCAGAGCTCTATTAAACAACATTTATTAACTCGTCTGGATGGTGACTGTGCATGGGAATTTTAAAGACTGGTAATAATCTATGGCTTGCTTTATTGATTGGAACATGCCAAGTGGGAATTAGGAAGTCTGGTCTCTTCCCCCATATTTGCTGTAAGTTCACTGTAGCAGGGTAGATCACCTAATGTACTTCCTTTTTTACATCTGCAAAATGCACTGATTCTCTTTAAGCTTTTGATTGTTGCAAGGCTCAACCAACCTTTGTAAAGGCTTAAGCTGGTTAAATGAGGTGTGATGCAGAAATACAATTGTTAAGCTGACTTTTACGTAGTTTTATCTATTTGTGTTATAAAATACCTACCAAGTTTTTTCTCTTCTTTGAAAAAATAAATCACATCCTGCCTTCAGGCCAGAATAAAGCACTTTAGTGGCAGTGTTTCTTTTTCTGACACACAGGAATGTTTTTGTAGGATGAAATGTGAATTGTAGAAAAACAGTAATGATGCCTAATTCTTACCGCCTTTCAGTTTGAACTAGGCAGGTAGATATGGTTAGGCAATACATTTTTAAAAAAAACAAACCCAGATTTCTTTTTTTAGCCTATCATGTTTGAGTGCATTTAAACCAAGGGACTGTCCAGAAGGGTGTTTTCTCCTCTTTGAAAGTGAAATGTAAGATATTTTGGGACTTAAAAACATTTATTTTCAAGTCAAGAGTAAAACCTGAAGTTCTCTGTGTTGTAAAGTTGAACTCCAGACAGTCCTTTCACAGCTGAATGACACGTCCACACTGGAACCTCTGATAAGGCACTGGCCCCTTAAGCCTCAGGAAGCTTAGGGCTGGCTGGGAAAAGAGTTAGCACTACCAGTTTGCTACTTCTTCCTATCTGTAGGATAACACAAACCCCACCAGCTGGTAGCTGCCATGGAGGTTTCATTGAAGGACTCAAGGAGCAGGGATGTTTTTTGACATTTGCTGATGCTGCCTGACGCTGCTGACTGCAGCTGCCAGAGGACCTTTGGTTAAGAGCCATGACATTTCATGGAGCCATCTGTCTGCAGCTGCCAGACTTCTGTCCACTGATTTCAAGACAGAGGAGAAAGTGTGTGCTTTGATAGATTCTGTATTAGGTGACTTGAATGTGATGTGGAAGGCTTAAACTGCCATTTTGCTCTCTAGATTTTAGTCTTTCAATGGGCCTTCCAGTTACTCTAGTTACTTCCCGTATGGTCTGGAAAGCAGATAGTCTCCAGATGTTGCCAACTGGAATCCTTTTTTCTTTCCTCTTTTTTTCTTTCTAAAATCTGTGGAAACTCTGTTTATTTCCCCTCCAGTTGCTTGAAGAGCTTGGAGGAGCTGCTGGTGCTCTGCAGGGTGCCTGGGCTGGGCAGCATGTCTGGTCTGGACCACTGTGGAACAAACTAGGTCTGCTGAGGGATTCCAAAATCTGAGAGCAAAGCAGATTTGAGTCAGGAGCTGAGAGGCAACAGCCAGAACCAGATTCATTTAGCCTACATGGTGTAACACACCAGTTTTCATGCATTGAGGTGCTAATTCTGTCTCAGTTGTAAATGTGTAATGACTGGTGCAGTGTGCCTGGCTGTGGCATCATGTTCTTTGATGGCTTTTCAGGCCTTGGAACTCTGGAAGGTCCAGCAATGCTAAATTGTAAATGCCTTAGTTCTATTACCCACCTCATTTGCTTTTCTCCTTTAATCTCTTGATAATTAAACATGACTAGGTCACTGCTATGCTGCTGATCTTAAAAAGAGTTTAAAAAAAGAGAAACTCCACCACGCAGCCCCATAACTGTGCTGGATCTTAAAGGGTCTCTACAGCCTCTCCAGAAAAATTGTTTTCCCTCTTGCATTGTGGAAGACCTGTGGCTGTCAAACACAAGACAAACATCCTGTGTCCATCTATTAGATTGTACCTGGTAGCTTCCATCTTTTTGTCAGGTGTTTGCTTTATGACACCAGTCATGAGGCAGATTCCCTCCTAACTGCAGAAGGTTATTAACTGCTGTGGCTCATCCACTTGAGAGAAGTGGCCAGAAAAGTGGCAGCCTTCTGTGGGGTTTTCTGCACACTGTTGAGTACAGGAGATTTACAGTTGGACAAGGCCTGTGGTGTCTCACACCCTTGCCCTGTTAGTAGAGGAGGACCATTGTGGGTACTGCTTAGAGAACCACCCTACACAGAAATCCTCATGACAAAGTCTAGCAGGTTAGAGATGTTTGGCATGAACCTAAATCCCTAAATGTTTGTTAAGAGTGGTCTTCTATAAAGATTTAATTTGATTTGCAGTTCAACCTGTTAAAAATGGTCCAAGATGCTATCTTCAGGATGCAGACATGTATTGTATTTGCTGTGACCAGTCTGAAGAGGTTAAGTGAGTAGGGGAGTAGAACGTCCCCAAGAGCAGACTATAGACTTCTGGCCATGCTTGTATGACATTGGTATGTGGTGCTTTTTTCCCCTCTAGTTTGAAATCAGGCAGCTGAGGGCCCACCTTGCCCAGCAGGATTTGGACCTGGCTGCAGAGAGAGAGGCTGCACTGCAGGTCCCCCATGTGCTGAACAAGCAGAGCAGCAACAGGTACAAGGTGGTGGCAGCTGAGGATTCGGATGATGAGACCACTGAGAACATCACTGAGTTGCGACCTCCACAAGGTGAGTGCTGCCTGTGTGCTGCTACCTGTTGCCACAGCTCATCCCTTACATGGAGCTAGTGATCCCACTAAATCCCTTCACTCTACCAGTGGATTGATTCTTTTCCCTGGAGACTGTGTTTTCCCATTTTTGCAAAAAGGCTGCATCTGCTTCCAACTGGCAGGAGCTGTTGTATTTGCCAACTGATTCTGAATAGGGCCAAAAAAATGACTCAGGAAGAAAACTACTATGAGGCACCTTCTCAATGTCCTCATTGTGCTATCCATCAAACACTAAAGAAGCAGCAAATAATTCAGAATTGGCAAAATGATAGTCACTTGGAGGTAAAAGGAGGGAAATTGGGAACTCTGAAAAACAGTAGAGAGGACCCGTGCAGCAGCTGTGGAACATGAGGCTGTGCTCTCTGCAGTTGCTTAAAGCTGCCAGTGCTGGACAGAGTGCAGCAGTGGACTCTGGAGTGCAGAATGTGTCCTGGTCTCAGTAACACTGAGTGGAATATTCCAGAGGAAACAACAGTTTCTGTCTTAATGATGTTGGTCTTCTTTGGACGTCTTAGCTTGAGGATTTTAGTAGATGAGCAATATGTGAATAGATCTGAATTGGAGGTTTGCATGGTATCTTTATTTTGGTTAAACTCCTTGGAATTAAAGACACAGAAGAACTTTAATAAAAAGGTGTACAAGAAAAATGCTCACCAGGTGTTTTTATATGATAATCCTTTCCATTGTCTACACAGTTATGAAAGCGTGTAGAAATTGTGGGGTTTTTTTCCTCTTTATAATATAAAAATGCTAACCACAGTTCAGCCATTAATTATTCCAGATTTGAAATTGTGTTTAAAAGCAGACAGTCGAGCAGTCTGCTCCCTAAAATGCATTTTCCCCCTTTTTTGCAGTATTTCAGAGATTTCCCCAGTGGATAGATTATAATTTATGCATGTGTTCCTTGAGGGTTACATTTGGAAGTGGAGAGTGTTGTGCACATTATAAGGAGGTTTGCTGAAATTTTAGAGCTGTGGAGATTCATCTAAATATTCTTCTGTCCAAGGTCTTCATTCCAACATCCAGGTTAACACAATTACTCATTGTTGTGTCTCCCTGTAAAATGCTGGCCACAAATGCAACAAATCTTCAGGGTTGATTTCTACATTGACTTAGGTCACGTGATTAGAGAGATTGCTGCTTTTCACTGAAAAAGGTATGTTCAGCAGATAAGAAAACATGCATTACTGTTTACATTGAGTAAGGTGCAGTTACATTATATTTAAACATTCATACTGAGTATACAGAATTAATTTCTGATTTCCAGAATTCATCTAAAAATACCAGAAGAAATATTTCTGTGCATTCTGTCATGTGTTACATACGAAGTAGATGCATCAAGCGCTTGTCATCAGAAGTTAAATTTGAGTGACTATTTCAACAACTGTCTTTTATATTGAATGAGACAGGAATTGGACAGAAAAACCTTTTCCTGTGGTCTTATAGCAAGGGACACCCATCCATGGCTGTCTGCCATGGTCTACTGACAAGAGGCCCAGTGAAGATTGAGAAACCACAAGCCCAGCAGTAACATTCAGTGCTTTAGTTTACAGTCCAGGAGTATCTCTAGTTGGTGTAGGATCTCCTGTCTGCTCAGGGATGTGCAGCACTCCTGAGATGGGGCTCTGCACAAAGGATGGAGATGTTTCATGTAGGTCTTCTCTCTACCCTGCTGCTTTTCATCTGCTGTGGTGCCACTAGCTGTGCTGTCTTCAGGGCTTTCCACAACACTTGCTCTGCCTGGAACTGTAAGCCACTAGTGTGACTTGTGGGCCAAGGATTCTGTTTTGCAAGTTACCCCCTGTGTCAGACTGGGAAATGCTTTGCATCCATTTTCTCTAAGCTGTATTTTTTCATCTTTAAAGATTCCAGGCTGGTTACTGCAGTCAGTCATTCTGTGTGCCAAGGGTGCTGGTGAGCTTTGATCAGTACCTGCAGTTGCCTATCACACTGACTAGTCGGAGGAGAAATACGGGACCAGGTTACTGATACTGTTAAAATAAAACCTACTGTTCACAGCCACAGTTCAGCTGTTTGGCAGAACAGGCTCTGATGTGCTGTTCTCTTATGCTCTGGCAGAATGTTGGCCCTACATGTAACACCTGAGGTTAGGGAATGGCATGGAATGCTTGTATTTGTGCCAAACTTAACTTTGTCAGCCTTCAAAAAATCACCGACTTCAGAGGGCCCTGAATTCTGTCAAATCCAGCAAGCTTGAGTTGGCTGGAGAACATACTGCATCATTAAATGGGATATTCCATCTCAAGCTAATCTTATTTCCCCTGTCTGCATTGAACAATAGAAACATTCAGGGCAGAATACTTGACCACGAAGGGGATATGGAATAAGAAAGCATTCAGATTTTTCACTCATTTCCCTGCCTGGGAGTTTTATGGGATAGTGCATAAATTAAAGCTCCCCAGGGGCAGCTGGAGCTTGTATTCTGGTATTTACACTGGATTTTGTGCCACCACTTACTACAGCATTCAGTAAAGTCAGTCAGGTAACCCCACCTTTGGGAATTTGTGTAGAGACACACATTGTGGCCTGCAGGAGAGCACTCTTATGTGCTATCTGATTTTGTAGCTTTCAGTATGTGTCTGCATCCAGGTTTTCTTTCTGTAGATCTCTTTGTATCTGAAGTGCTTTAATTGCTGGTACAACAGTGGGAGAGACAAGAGCTCTAATCAGACAGTCAGTGGGCTTTGAAAGTGTCCCATCACTCCCCAGCTAGTGTTTCATGCAGCTCCTTGAAGAACCACTTCTTGAGGCTGTGCAACAGTAAGCTGTTTGTGGCCTGCTCAGTCCTGTCCTAAGTCTCTGTATAATGAGCTGGTTGCTGCCTCACGGGCTTCTGTCTCCCCAGAGCAGTTTACCAGGAGACCTCATAACATAGTAATAGTAACTGTGGAAAATGTGTAGATCTATGGTATGTAGATCATTAATTTGGCTAAGAAGCAGGAAATTTTAACTTGCTTTGGATGGAGATTTTATTTGTCCTGCCAAAAAATTGATCTCCAGAGTGGACAAACATGAAGGCTAAAACACAGGCTTCAGCATGCAAGTCAAAGGGTACCATTATCAAGCTTAGGAAAGATGATGGACTCCAGAGAAGGGCTGGACTCTAGGAGCTATAAACCCAGGGGAAAGCTGTGACATTTGCTGCACTGTGAGCACTTCACTTAGCCTCTGTGCCTCAGTTTGAAAAGAGCTCAGGGTGAAGCTGTTGCATCTGAATGCACAGCAGCATCACTAATGAGTTTCAGGACCATTGTGGTCAGCCTTTCTCTAAGAGCAAGGGAAATATCCTGAGTGCTGTCATCTCCTTTCTTCTTCCCAGAGACAGTTACCATTTGACATAATGGCAAATATTATCCTATCTGTTAATCTCTAAATTATAAAGGAAGTTTTTTCTCTTGCTGAGTTCATACCTCATACAGTATGTAACTGCTCATGGTCAGGAAAACATCTCATGTTTTCTGCTCCTGCACAAATCATTTTTAGTGTTTGGTATCCAAAGTTCCGGGCTTCAGGGAATGCCAGGCTCACAGTGCCCCATATAGCCATTAATACTTCCTTTCAAAATTTATTATTCTTTAATCTCTCCCATAATATATGAATTACGGTCCCTAGTGGAAATCCCTCATTTTCCTGCATATATCATTCCAGGTTTTGAAATTCTACAGTACTGCCATAGCTCAAGATTAATATGCCACCCTTCTATTCCTAGCTCTGTTGCTTCATGTCACAGAAAGCTTATTTTAGCTATTGTGAGTAAAATTTCCATTTTTATGAGGTTAAAAGTAAGTTGTCTGCTTTGGGGGACTGCTGCAATTTATGATCATGCTTGGAAAAAAGTAAAGCTTGCTCTCCCTGTAGATACCCACTGTTTTATAAGGGAAGAAAGTAGGATGTTGGGAGGGGACCATGAACAACTCTGGAGCTTCAGAGGACTTCCCTTAAGATTATTCATAAGCTGTCTGAGAAGGCAAAGCAGGGCACTGGAAAGGATTTTGTCAGTTGTTCCTTGTGAGGCAGTCTGAGCTGGTTGAACACTTTTAAACTCTAAGCCAGTTCCTTTGGTGATCATCTGTTAGTGCTCTAAGAGAGCTCTGTTACTGCAGAACAATAGATAAAAAATAGTTTATGGTTATTTTCAAATGTTGAAATGTATCTACTTTGAAGCCTGCTCCTGGAAATGGTTATATCTTAAGTGCACCCCACTTCCTGGTTAAACTCCATGTATCTGTGGAACAGTGAGGATTTGGCTTCTCTGTAGGTGCCTCTTTCAGGCTTTGTGGTTCTCTGTGCAGAGATCATCCAGGCAGGAATCAAAGGAATTGAACCTTAAGCAACACTTATATAAATGTGTGGAGTTAGTGGAGCTGGGCTCTTGAATTTCATGTTTACCCAATGGCTGGAGTAGCAGCTTTTCACTGCCTGAACTGGTGAGCACGGAGTCACATGTGTGAGGCTGAAGTTGTCTCCCATCATTAGTGTGCAGAGGAGTGAAGACACTGCTGACAGGTAAAGGAACACAGAACTGGAAACTTTTCCACTGTCCCAACATGCAGCCCTTTTCATAAACAGATGGTGCTCCATGAGGCAGCAGGGATGTGTTGTGCCCTCTCCCACCCTTACAACATTGCTCCAGCATCTCACTTTTCTAAAGTATTAGAAATCTTTTCCTAATTCCCAGTCTGCATTTATTCAGTGCTACTTTATAACTATTTGTTCATTAATACTTTTGCTTATTTTTTTCTTTTCTTTCCTTGATATTTACCCATCAAATTATTGTTTTATTGATAGCCATATTCCTTCTCAAGCTTTGTTTTTCTAGACTCAACAAATGTGGCTATTTTGCAGAGACAGATCCAAGTTCCTCTGCCTTTGCTTCAGGCCTAGTGTAACAAGCCAACTTGGATATGGATCTGCTGATCCATATTCATAGAGAACAAGGTTGGAAAGGACCTATCATCTACTCAAAGCCACCAGCCATGCTGTCTTGCATCTCAGCCATGCAGCACACAGTGCTCTTGCACCATGATCTGCTAAAGTGAGGTCCAAAGCCACCCAATTTGTTGTCAGTTAATGATTTTGGTTTTCTGTCCCTTTTTTTTTTTTTGTCCCATCATTATCTGCTGATAATGGAGCCTGTTCCATATCCCAGGATTTCCTTCTGTACAAGGACTTCTATCTCAGGGTGATTTCCTACTTTAACCAGGCTGAATCTGTTTTCTGTGTGAGCTAACTTTGACAGCTCCTCACAAGGTGGATTATCCATGGACTCAGGCATCCACCCAAGCTCTGCAGGGACTGGTTATCCATGTGAATGGAAGAGTTGTGTGATACTGCAGCTTGCACAGATGTTGCAAATCTTCCTCCATATGAAAAGCAGGGTTGGGGTTTTTTCGTGTTTTTTATTGCTGAGTGCATTTTATGCTACTTTTATTTCCCAAATGCTTCTAAGGTGCTTTAAGGAGAAGACACAGGTGTCAGGTCACCATGACAGAAATGAAAGACCTGCTTCATTAGAAACATCCTAGTACAGACTGCTTTCTGGAGGAAAGTTGGGCTAAGACATTAGTCTAGTCTGAGGACTCACATCCTCAGTAGGAGGCTGCACAGCAGAAGAGATCACCTTCCAGTTCAGAAAATTCAACTTTGAGAGACAGAAGGCAGTAAAATCAATGACAATAAAAATATGAATTAAAATATTTTAATAATTTAATATTTCAAAAGAAACACCCTTTTTAAGGCCAATCTAAAAGATGTGCAAATGGTATTTTTTGTATGGAGGGGGGGTTGCAGATCTATTCACTGAAGTCATTGATGTAACAATTAAAATCACTGTTGAGGGATTATACAACTAAAAGAGGCATCTGCCTTGGGTGGAATGTAATTTATGTGTTTCACCAAATTTATTGGGTTTTTATAGGGCCAGGAGAGAGATTAGTGTTGTCTCTTGGGTCAGATGAGGTTATATGGGACTGTACTCTTTAGAGTTTATTACTGCTTGAACCATTTTAGCATGTGTTCCGAGTCTTGCAGGAAAAGGACAGACAGGTGATCTGGAAACCTTCATCAGACAAAGCCCAGTAGTTGTGGGACAGATCCTGACCAAGAACCACGTTTTGGTTCCTCCACAGTGCTGCTGCATAACTTGCTGTGCCCCATCACTCCTGCTCTCCAGGGAAAACTGTAGAACCATCCTTGTTCACCACAAGTTAGGATGGGTTTTCACATGGGGAAGAGCTGCCTCATCTTCCTATTCTACCTTCTCAGCTTTCAACTATTGGATCCTCATCACCAGAGTTGTCACCAGATGTCCTGGGGGTAAAGGCTTTAATTCCTTACTTCTAGACATGGCATTCAGGGATATCGTTTAGTGGTGGACTTTGCAGTGTTGAGTTTATTGTCGAAGTCGATGATCTTAGAGGTCTTTTCCAACCTGAATGATTCTGTGATTCCTCCTGGTGCAAGTGGATCCCTATCACCACCCACTGACATTTTCCTAAGGTTGCCATTTCCAGGGGAAGTAAGAGGGAGATGTTTTTTCTTTCTGCTTAACTGCAAGTTCCTTCATTTATAATAAATACCATTTGGGCATTGTTATAGCTAAGGACTTCTATATGGAAAGTTTCTCTTCTGGAAAAGGAGTGCAGGTAACATTGATATGTATTTGAATAGATGGGTTTATTTCTAGGAAGGGAGGAAGAAAATTAAGTCTTCTGGATCCTGAAAATTCCAAGGTGGCAGAAAAAAGAAAAACAGTGTTTAAAAACACCAGGGAAACTATGAAGAATGAAGTATTTCTTAAGATAACTATTTCTGGAGCTGAAACTGACAGCAGAAAACAGTATGTAGAATTTAAATAATATAAGCAATCTGCTCCTTTTGTACAAGCTGGTCCCCCCATCTCATCCTACCAACTTCCCTCATTCCACCAGCTGCAAACATAGTTGTACTGATCTCCTTTGACTGCATGTACTGAGCAGTGGGGACTTCATCTCACTGTGAAGTGCTTGAGCAGTGTTCCACTGTCATGTGCAAAACTGTACTTTTTCTTGGAGTAGTTGTTTTATATGCACAAAAAGTTGCTTTCAGTTGTATATTTGTGGCATTTTTAAGCTCCTTGCTTTCAGCCACGTAGAATATAGTGAGAGATACCTGCACTTGTTTATAGCCTGTTGTCCCCAGAGCAGCTGAGATTTCCATATGACTAAGATGAGTTTGTCAGTTGCCAGTTTGTTTCAATGTAATACTTCAGAAACTTATTCTTTTGTTGGAATATTTATTCTGCAGTTGTTACTCCATTACCCTTTATTGTTTTTTATTAATCAGAGCCTATTCCAGTTAAATATATATGCCCACACATGTATGTTATATTTCACATGCACATGTGTATCTATTTATACATATCTTTTATTTCTAGATAGATAAGCAATGTAAAACAGTGAGGTTAGTGAGGCCATCACATAACAACCTGACATGAAAGCAGGCAGCTGAGCAGCTCGCTCAGTCCTGTGTGGAGCCAGGACAGTGTGATTTTCCTCACCACTCAGAGGGCTCTGGCTGAGTGCATTACAGGGGTTCCTTTTCAGATCCCTGGCACTGGCCTTTGCTGATACAACGACTGGTCTGTATCTCTCTGCTGAATTGGTTTGAAAGCAACTGATCAGTTTGAAAATGGTGTCCTGGTGCATTCTGTTAGTTGACAGGCAGATGGCCAGGGCAGGGAATGTGTGCAGTCCTAAGGAAGACTTGGCTGGAGCCTTGCCTTAAGACATGGAAAGCAGGTAACGTTTCCAAGTTCTTTTCTATCTTTTGAGTGCAAAGCATCTTGGCATTTGGGGCAGCCTTTAATGAGAGCCAAAGGCAACGGGAGCACTCCTGCCTGTTCAGTGCTGAGTGTGAAGAGGAGGGGCAGAACATCCCTCATCCCAGCCAGATTGCAGGTCTGTTTCCTTATTCCTCTGCTTAGAATTAGGCCCTTCAGTTAAATATGATCCAAGTGCACTACCAGAAGTGCAGAGAGGCAGGTATCTTCTGACTGTAGCTGAAAGTTCTTGCCTGAACAAGAACCTGTATCTATATGGGCTGACGGGTTTGGTGGCGTTTAGAGTCTAAATTATGCATGATTGAAATGAAGTGTATTTTAGTAGCAGATAGCTGAAAAGCCTTGCTCTGTGCTCCTAATTCAGCAGCATTGCCTTGAGCTACTCTGAGGCCTCTTTTTTAAATTCAGACATTAGCACAAAACACACCTCTGACTGCAGGCATTTAAAGATCAACAAGGGCCAAAAAAGCTTTTAAAATCCAATGAAACCAGGAAAACAACCATGTTGCCTTTCAATGTCAGGTTAGATTGCCTTCTTAGAGTGCAGCTATTTCAGGTACAGAGTGCTTAGTGGTTTGGGTCTTGTTGTGTGGAGAAAGTGTTCCCCAGAAAACATCTGTTTCTTTCACCTGCAAACCACAATGTGCTGTGAAAAGGAGAACTGCAGCCGCAGAGACCCAGGGGGGGAGGGAAATCTGGCTCAAAGGGATGAGCATGGTTTTCTGAAACACGGTATCAAAAAGAGCACTTAAAAGGAAGGAATGCTTTTAGAGCACAGATACGCTGCAAATTGGGCAGGTCAGGTTGCTTGTAAGCTTGAAATTCTTCCTGGGTTGCTGGTACCATTTTCTTAGCAGCAATATTAGTGTTCTGCTCGGAATTGCAACAAGAGAAGTTTGTTCCTTGCTGTTTTTAGTAACTCTAAAATGTTCTGCTTTTCTGTAAGGTACTAAGAAATCCCACTGTCAGCAGCAGCATCTAAAAATCTGCATATGCAGTATAGCTGCTGCTTTCTTTTTTTGTGATCATGTCTTCATTTTTATCTCATTGTTATTGCAGTTCAGGTGTAGTGAAGTACTGCACCCTTGACCTGTCAAAATCTTCAGTGTATTTTAAGCCAACAGGTCTTGTGGTGTGAATGTGCTGTGTGTTACGTATGAATGTCTAGTAAGCAACAAAATGGGTTTTTTTAGTTCATTCTGAATGAAAAAAAAAACCCAAAAGCATTATTTTAGAAGTAGGAATTTATACACTAAAAGGCCAGCGTTACATGTGGCTTTACAGGTGCTGAGGAGATGGGCCTGGGGCAGTGATCAACCCCACAATGGGCTGTAGGAGGGTGATAGAGCAAGAGTCCTTTGGAACCCAGAATGTCTCATTCCCAGGCTGCTGTCATAAACAACTGCAACAGATGACAGCTCCTGTGTGCCATGTGTCTCCAGCTCACACCTGGTCTGGCCTGAAAACACCATTGGCAGGGAGGACTTTCAGCTGTTTAATCAAATGAGTGGTTTTCTAATGGCTGCTTTTTTGTTCTTGCAGAGGATGACATGAATAATTACATCAGCCGATACTACAACGAGCCCAGCAGTGGTAAGTTCTGCTTAAAAATGTCAGCGTGAACTGCTTTTTTGCGTTGCACAGTGTGCTGTGAACCAGGTGAGGCTGAACAATGATGTAGATCTGTCCTGAAAATGAAACTTATGATGGTATCTCTTGGTTTGCTCCATAGAAATTTGTACCAAAATAGTTCTCCAAAGGTTGAAGGGCCACAGGTTTCTCTGCTGAAGGCACTCGCAATAGTTCAGAGATCTGGGAAAGGTGAGTTCCCCATAGCTAGGCTGTCCAGTCTGCAGAGCCCTTGCAATGAACCCAAGAAGAACAGTATGTACAAAATGAATGAAAACACAAGTGGTGTTAGCTCAGCCCAGCACCATGCTGGGAGCCTTCCAGGAGGGTGAGGCTGGATGGATGGTGAGAAGCCTCAGCAGCAGCACGGGCTGAGGCCCGAGAGCAGGCTGGGAAGGGATGTCCTCTGGCAGGCATCCCCCTCTGGCACAGAGCGCTCCTGGGGGGCCAGGGGCTGCCCCAGCACCTGTGGAGCACCAGGGTAAGGGGTGGGGATGCACCCCCTGCTGTACTCAGAATTTCATAGATATATATTAAAAAATAAATGTGTGTGTGTGTGTGTCTGCATACACACATACAGATAATATAGAGGAGACAGGTGTGTGTGTACACATAAGTGTGTACTATGCTTATATCCCACATGTACATCTCCCTATAGAGTATATATATACACACCATGAAGTATGGGCATAAAGAGATACACATCTCTATAGGGATGAGTCTGTGCATCTACATACCTATTATATCTATGTATTGTGTGTGTACATAGATGTGTGCATAAGAATCTATAATGTTTTATGTATATATCCGACATATATACAGATACGGAAAGACATCGGTAGACATACATGTTGATACATATATGTGTATAATGTATTACATGTGTATCTCCAAACATACATCCCCATATATATATATAAAAAAAAAAAAAAGTGTGTGTGTGTGTGTGTATATATATTTCAGAAGATGTCTATACATATAAAGATACGTATGTAACTGTCTCTATTAATATATTAAGAGATATATATAAAGGACCTACTCAAGCAGGTCTGGAGGCCACAGAGATGCTCCAAGGGCTGGAGCAGCTCTGCTCTGGAGCCAGGCTGGGAGAGTTGGGGTGTTCAGCCTGGAGAAGAGAAGGCTCCAGGGAGACCTTAGAGCAGCTTCCAGTGCCTGAAGGGGCTCCAGGAAAGCTGGGGAGGGGCTTGGGACAAGGGCAGGGAGGGAGAGGACAAGGGGGTTGGAGTAAAACTGCAGGAAGGGAGATTGAGGTTAGGAGGAAATATACGCGTGTTTGAGCAAGAAAGTGAGCACGTGTGCTGTTTGTAGATACGTAATTTCATGTGTTTAAAGAATACATGTATCAAATGTTCATCTGTACAGAGGTATGTAGCTATACATATATGGGGCTGCTAACACCCACTGCCCGTAACAGTATGGAGAAATCTATATATAAATATATTATGTGTACACATAAGTGTGTACTATGCTTATATCCCACATGTACATCTCCCTATAGAGTATATATATACACACCATGAAGTATGGGCATAAAGAGATACACATCTCTATAGGGATGAGTCTGTGCATCTACATACCTATTATATCTATGTATTGTGTGTGTACATAGATGTGTGCATAAGAATCTATAATGTTTTATGTATATATCCGACATATATACAGATACGGAAAGACATCGGTAGACATACATGTTGATACATATATGTGTATAATGTATTACATGTGTATCTCCAAACATACATCCCCATATATATATATAAAAAAAAAAAAAAGTGTGTGTGTGTGTGTGTATATATATTTCAGAAGATGTCTATACATATAAAGATACGTATGTAACTGTCTCTATTAATATATTAAGAGATATATATAAAGGACCTACTCAAGCAGGTCTGGAGGCCACAGAGATGCTCCAAGGGCTGGAGCAGCTCTGCTCTGGAGCCAGGCTGGGAGAGTTGGGGTGTTCAGCCTGGAGAAGAGAAGGCTCCAGGGAGACCTTAGAGCAGCTTCCAGTGCCTGAAGGGGCTCCAGGAAAGCTGGGGAGGGGCTTGGGACAAGGGCAGGGAGGGAGAGGACAAGGGGGTTGGAGTAAAACTGCAGGAAGGGAGATTGAGGTTAGGAGGAAATATACGCGTGTTTGAGCAAGAAAGTGAGCACGTGTGCTGTTTGTAGATACGTAATTTCATGTGTTTAAAGAATACATGTATCAAATGTTCATCTGTACAGAGGTATGTAGCTATACATATATGGGGCTGCTAACACCCACTGCCCGTAACAGTATGGAGAAATCTATATATAAATATATTATGTGTATATAAAATGTGTGAGACTGCATATAGACACACATATATTCTGTAGAGCATTGTGTACACATATTTATAGGTATGCAGTCTTATTTGTTTATGTGCATATTCATCCCCATTGTACATATGGTGCTGTAGAGGAAATTGTGTGTGTACATGTGTATATAAACACACAGCTATATAAATGGTGTGTTCATTCCTGTACAGGTATAATGTATTTTAGATAAATACATATACCATAAATATATACACCGCCCCCTCCCCCCCCAAAAAAAAAATTACAAATATTTATATACGAAGGGGGGTTGTGTGTATTCTATTAAACATTAAATATATGTATTTAAATGGGAGAACTATGTCATAAAGAGTGTGTGTGTAAATAGTGTATTTATATACATGTGTGTATATGTATGTTTACAATTATAATGTATTCTATATGGGACTTACATATAAAAGCACACATCAACAGTTATATTTTTTATATATTTATTTTTACATATATATTACATGTCTATATGGATAAATCTCTGTATAAATATTATACATGTATAAAATAGGGGAGGGTGAGATTGCATGTGGATATTTTATATATATGTGTGTGTCTGTGCACATGCATATATATGTATTTGGTATTACATACAGATATATAACCCTGTGTATACATCCCCATAATATACTTGGATAAAAAAAAATGTTTCTATACGTGTGTGTGGATGTAATTTAAAAGCTGTATAAATACAGGGCATGTGTGTTCATGTAATAGGTACAGTGTGATATATATATATGTATACTCCTGAACATATAGTTCCCATGGATGTACACACAAATAAAAACCAGTAGGGTTGTGTGGTTTTATCCCATTTTAACAGTAACTAATTACATATGTGTGTGTCTGTGTTTGTCTCTCTGTGAGTGTTTGTGTGTCCCCGTGTTTGTCTTTCTGTGGCTGTCCCTGTCTCTGTTAGTCTATCTGTGTCAGTGTGTCTGTGTAGCTGTCTTTCTATAGCTGTTCCTTTGTGTCCGTATTTCTGTCTGCACCTGTCCATGTCTGTCTGTTCCTTTGTGTCTGCCTTTACCTGTCCGTGTCTGCCTGTAGCTGTCCCTTTGTGTCTGTCTTCCTATAGCTATCCATTTGTCTTTTATCTGTTCCTTTGTGTCTGTATATCTGCCTGTAACTGTCCGTGTCTGTCTGTATTTGTTCCTTTCTGTCTGTATGTCCACCTGTAGCTGTCCAAGTCTGTCACTGTTCCTTTGTGTCTGTAGCTCTCTGTATGTGTTCCTTTGTCTGTCTGTAGCTGTTCGTCTGTCCATCCACCTGTAGTTGTCCATGTCTGTTTGTAGCTGTCTGTGTCCCTTTGTGTATGTCTGCCTGTAGCTACCCAAGTCTGTCACTGTTCCTTTGTCTGCCTGTCTGTCCATGTCTGCCTGTACCTGTCCACGTTTATTCATGTGTATCAATGTGTATATTTGTGTACGGGCATGTCCACGTGATGTGTGCATCTGTGTGGCAACAAGTGTGCTTGAGTGAGTATATAGAGGGTGTATAGGTAGAGTGTATGTGAATGTGTGCACATATGTATGTGTGCATGTATGTCCATGTGTGTGAGTGTATGATTGCATATGTGTCTGCATGTATGCTGGTGTGTATTGTTTCCATGTGTATGTGATGTGTGTATATGTGCGTGTTCATGTGTTTGTGCATGTGAGTGTATGTGAATGTTTGCACTTATATGAGTGCACTTGTGCATGAATGGATGTGTGTAATGTTTGTGCATGTGTCTGTATGTAATGGGTGTCTGTGTATGTGTGTGACTGTGTGTGCTTATGTGTGACTGTACATAGATGTATGAATGAATGTGTGCACATTATGTTTGTGTGTATATGTCTGCAGATGTGCGTTTGCAGTATGTTTGAATATTTGTATGTGTGGTGGGGGGGGTGTGCGAGTGCACGTGTTTGCATGTGTGCGTATGTGCACTTACGAGTGTATATAAGTGTATGAATGTAATTATGAGTGTATGTGTCTATGTATGTATGCGAATGTGTGTGTTCCGTGTGAGTGTACACAGGTATATGAATATGCGCAGGGCTGGGTATGCAAGTGTCAGGTGTGTAGGTGTGTGTATGTGATGTGTATGTGTATGGGGGAGGTGTCTGAGTGCATGTGTGTGACTGTGCATGAGTGCATGTATGAGTGTATTTCTACATGTATGAATGCATATGTGTGTGCATGCATATGAAAGTGTATATAGGTGTATGAATGTATTTCTGTGTGCATGTGTCTATGTGACGTGTGTGTGCTTATGTGTCAGTGTACATAATCAGTATGTGTGTGCATGAATGCCCATGTTTAATGTGTTGTGCACGTTTGGGTGTATAGGAATCCACATAGTGTTCGTATATATGTGCATGCATATATGTATGGGTGTGGTTTGTGTGTGCATTTGAACATGTGTGCATCTATGTATGTGCTGTGTCGTATACCTGTATGTGGGTATGTGTATTCACACATACATATGTGTGCATCTCTATGTGTCTGTGTAAACATGCGTATGCACGTGTACATGTGTGTATGTACACGGGTGTGTCTGTAGGTGTGTGCAGGCATGTACACAGCATGTGTGCATTTGGATGTGATGTATTTGAATGTGTATATATATGTATATTGATGTATGTGCACATTTATGTATGTACATTTGTGTAGGTGTACGTGCATCTATGAATGTGTGTGCTTATGTGTGAGTGAACATGTGTATGAATGGATGTAACTACGTGTATGAATGTATCTGCATGTGTGTGTGCATGCACGTGTGTGAGTGGATAGAGGTGCATGAATGAGTGTGTATGTAATTGTATGTCTATGCGCGTGTGTGTGCATATATGGCTACATGTGGATATACATGTGTATGTGTGCCTGTCTGCACACGTGTGTGTGTGTGCGTACATATATATATAAAATACACAGACACAAGAGATCCACTTTTATTCCAAGGGGCTGTGGGTGGGAGGCACCTACCGTCTGGGGTGGGGAAGAGGGTTTCCTCCTCACTTCCCCCCTTCCCCACTCACCTCAGTCTCTGCTTCCTTTCCTGCAGACACAGGTGTCCCCGAAGCTACCATCTGCAAGGTCACAGCTGCCACTGTTGACATCCATCGCTCCAACATCTCTTCTGACCTCCTGGGGGTGGAGCTCCCCCCACAGCAGGACAGCACAGGCCAGGACACCTCAGGCAGTGCCTCCCTCTCCACCCTCAGCTCGGGTGCCCAGGCCTGCAGCTGGACACTGGCCTCCTCCCCGGACTGCAGCTCCACCTGCCAGGACACTCTGGAGCCCAGCCCCCAGCCCCAGCTGCCTGACCCTCGGGAGCCCAGCCCCCAGCCCCAGCTGCCTGCCCAGCAGCGGGTGGCCCAGGCTGTGGTGCAGCAGCTTCTGTCATCCATGTCAAAAGAGACATACCTGTCACAGCAGGGCCCAGATCCTGCTGGCCTCAAGCTGTCCATGCCAGCTGCAGGGGACAGCCCTGACCTGCACCACCAGCTCAGCATCTACAATGGCAGCAAGCAGGATGGCCTGGACCTCAAGCCGCTCAGTGACTGCCCACAGGGTGCTCCCATGATTGAGCAGTATGGGGTGCTGGGGCCCCTGGAGCCACACCTGGGCAGGGCAACCAAGCCATAGGGACAGCCTGCAGGAAGGGGAGTGGGTGGGACACACACCCTGTGCTAGGTCACAAGGCAAGGTGGCCATGTTGGACAGAACCCATGGTCGCTCCTGCCATGGCCACCAGCCTGGGACCCAGCCCGCATCGCCTCTGCCCGTGCTGCACAACCTACCTGCCCAGCCTCTGGGCCAGCCAGGACCTACCATGTCCTCTGGAGCACAATGGACCTTCCAACAGCCTCAGGCCAATGTGGCACTACAGTTTCTCTGGGGACAGACTATGGACGTGGTCCTGCCACCAGCCTAGAACCAGAGCAATGGTGCCCAGGGGCACACCAGAGCTGCTGGACAGCTTGGGCACAGCTGGGAGGGCTCTGAGAATGGGAATAAACACTGACAAACATATCCTGCCTTGTCTTCCCTCCTTCCTTCTCCTCCAACCCTACTTTCCCTTCTTTCCCTGTCTTGCTTTCTTCCACACCAAAATCACCACGCTGCATGCCATCCCATCACCCACCCAAACAAACCCACCACCAGAGTGACCCCCACCTCTTTCCAGTACAATCCTTTATTGGCACTCATTCCCACATCCCAGCTGCAGTGCAGGGTCCGTCACTGTTGCTCACTTTTTCTTCAGGAGCTCCGTCATCTCTGGCACTGCCTGCAAACACCAGGGCCAGGGTAGTGTGTGGTCGCCCACACCTCTCCCCCCCCCCACCTTTCCCTGTGTAGATCCCGAGCCCCCAGTGATGCTCCCCACTCTCCCACCCCTCATCCCCAGCACACCGCTCCAGGGGCTGTGGGTCACCCCAGCTCACAGCACTCCCCACTGTTCTCCTCCTAAATAAAGCCTCTTAATTATTTAAGAGGGCTACATTTCCATTAGGTGGAAATAATGCATTCATACAACATTTATTAAGGAAATTGCCTACACGGTGTTTTGGCAGGCTGTGACTTTGTCTCTGGCTCACAAAAAGGCCCATGCTCACTGCTGAGCCGGCAGGCACAGCTTCAGGAATGGCATGAAGTGCTGGCAGAGCTTCTGCCCATACCTCCCCTATGAGCTCCCTGGGCATGGGCTGGCTCCCAGCTCCATTTTCCCAGAGAACCCCAAGTGCCTCCCAGGTGTCACTAAGGCAGCAAGCCTGGGCCAAAATACAACTCCTCCTGCCAACTCAATACTTTCATACTTCATGAAGCTTAAAAACACACATAAGCACCTCTGTGCAGTTATTTCTCAAAACAGCTTATAGTCAGGAAACTGGAATAGCAGCAGGGGCCATGACACCCCTCCCCACACATGACAGCTTCTCCTTGCAGGGATTTAACATTGAGCATGAAAATAATGAAATCCTAAAGCACATTCTTTACCAAAACACCCTGGCACAGACATGTACCAGATACTAGCTTAGCTAAGCTCCTGTTAGATCTCTGAACTGGGTATCTCTAAGTTCAGCCTTACCTGAAATAAATCTGCCACCAGGCCGTAGTCTGCCACTTGGAAAATGGGAGCTTCCGGATCCTTGTTAATAGCAACAATGGTCTGCAAGCAGCAGTGAAGCACCATGTGAATAGATACACACAGAGAAAAATACAGATGAGCTCTGGGAGTAGGTTAAAGTGACAGGAAACATGGGACAGGTTACAGCGACAGGCCTTATCTAGGTAACATGGGCTACATTCTCTCTGCATCCCTAGAACCAGAAGATACAGATCATGGCACATAACAAATGCCTTCCTTTGCACTGGAAAAACACACACAAACATGTACCTGCTCCCCCTCAAAAAAAAGAAAGGAAGAAAGAAAGAAAAAAATCCCCCAACAAACCAAACTCCCTTCCCTGCTCACTCCATACACTGGGGCTATCCTTCCTCATTGAAAAAAGAAGGCTAGAAAACAAAACATTACTACAAAAGATGACCTGCAAGATGCAAACACCACCATTACAGTTATCACTCTGAACAAGTATCCAAAACACAATAAAGTCACCTAAAGGCCTCTGGACTTACTATGGGACACATAATTTCACCTGTCACACAGTACAGAAATGGATCTGCTTGAAATCCCAACACCAATGGTCCAGAAAAAAATGTCTCCATTTAAACTCTGCCATGCAGGTAAATCATTCTGTAAATGTGTGTGACAGCTTCTGGCAAAATAAGGATGGGTGTGCACATCAAAATCTCCAGCAGGACAGGGAGCACTCCATGCAGAATGGGGGCAGTAGGGAAGACTTGCCCCACACAGGGGTCTAAACTGCAGCTCTGGGACTGCCCTTCCACCTGAATGCTGCCAGCCTGAGCTCCGCGCTGAGGCAATGCGACTCCTCAGGACAGCTCTAACCAGACAATTAATTCCATGTGCTTACCTGCCATTCCCAGGGAGCTACAGGTCTCCTGTCTCCATTTTATTCCCTCACTCAGTGTCCTTGTCCAAAAAAAATTAATGGCTCAGTAGCATATAGCTCATGGCAGTAACTCTTTATGTTTGCAAAGGCCCACAGAAATGTTTTTTTTCTCATGGGTCATTTGTACCCTGTGACTGGCTGTGAGGCAGGCCCACATCCTCTTTGGGGGAAGGAAGTACCTACAGCAGAGCACTGCTGCTGCCCTCTCACCAGCTCATAAGACTTGCAAGTATTCCATTAATATTTCCCCTATAATATTTTTCCCAAACTACTTGTTTTTATTTCAGTTATCACATTTGCAATTAAATCCTCCACCAACAATTCTGCAGTGTGGAAAGCAAAACCCAGGCTGTGATACCTGAGAGTAGTGGCTCCATAAAGACACTGACTGTGCTCTGAGGCCCTTCCATGCTTTCCAGAACCCTTCACAGGGGCTAATGCTGAGGGCAGGCTGAAGCTGCATGTCAGTGACACCCTGGGGCTGCCAACTCTGTCCTTATCACAATAATTAACACTAGTTTCTTGCAAAACTGTCTTAACCTATTGTCTGACAGCCTAGTCCTTCCTCTGTCTCCATTAGTTAAATAACTGTTTCTCTGCTTCATCACTACATCAGACTTTCCACCACCTTGAGTGCAACAGAACTTGGCAAGTTACATCTCTGAGAAAAGACACCCAACTACCTCCCTGGGAATTAAAAATACAGAAAGAAAGCAACAATCACTCTCCAGGTCTCCTCAAAAGCTGCATTTTCTACGTTGCTGTAGGACAAAACCTGTAACTTTGCTTTCAGTAGAAAGCATCTGACTATGGAAAATGCACCCTGAAGCATGAGCTCTCAGTGCCAGGTAATTCACAGTGCTGAGGGATGACAGGGGATGCTCCAAAACTCTGCTGCAAAACTCTTTACATTTGTAAAATCTGGATCTTTCATTAACTACCACACCTATATGCTTTGGCTAGAACGAAAGCAGAGCCCTCTTCAAACACATGTAAAGCTGCATTTTACACTATGCACAACAATACATGGGGAAAAAGGAAATTGGCAAGTGCACATCTATCAAAAAGTTTCACCTGTCCTTATTTCCTATAAAAGAATATCTCAAAATATCAACCATGGCATCAGAAAAGCCAAAAAAGCTGAGGTTTGCTATTACAGTACAAGACAAGATCAATACTCAATATTTTTATATGAAAGGAAATTCTGGCACTCAAAGTAACAGGTTCCCAGTCTTCACTGAGAGAAGGCAGGAGATAAAGACACACAGTTTTAAGCAGCTTTAAATACACAGCTCTTGGTCAATGGCCAATGCTGATCCTACCTGCCCATTTTGTCCCTCACCTAAAAGCAGAGTCTCTCAAAACAAAGACACTCTTAATGCTGCAGCCCATCCGCTCCTAGTGAAGTCTGTAAGGAGCTGAGGACCTCAGTGGTGGTACCTCATCAGTGACACTCCTGCCTCTGACCATCCCTGCCACCTCCTGGTGCTGCGCTGCAAGGACCGAGCCGTTCAGGAACACGCTGCTACAGACACTGCTCGTAATTCAGTTTCAAGAGCAGCCTCCATCCCAGCTCCTCAGTCATCCTCGGATTCTGATTTTCTGACTGTTTTTCTTCACTGTGTTGACTAATGCTAACACAGCTTGAGTCCCTGACTGCAGAAGACAAAGGCCCCCAAAAGGGTGATGTATCCCAAATCCAGCTGATGTGATTCCCCCCTCACAAATATTTAAATATTACATGCAAAAATAACTGAACCATAAGGAAACACAGATCATCCTACCACACAAGGACAGTTACCAGATTCAGAAACTCACTAATCTGTCACTGGCTAAACACAAGTTCATTACCTGGAAATAAGAAAACAACATATATATCCTTTTTCTGAAATGACTTGCAGGGAGGCTGGACAACCTACACTTTTTGGTATTTGATAGTAGGATGCAGCAGGTAATTCTGCTCCTCCTACCAAACATTGCTCTGCAGACCAAACTGGCAATTCCCATTTCAGATTATTTGCTTTGGCAACTAATGAGTTAAACCTTTTAAAGTTTTACTGCCTTTTGTAATAGGTTTCCATTTGAATGGCTAAATGCAGGAATGTCAGAAACATCTTTTACTTTATGGAATAGTAACTTCATAATTCCAATTGCATATCGCTATGCATGAATTAATATGTCATACTCTGAAATAAAGGCAAATGGAACTATTGTAAAGAATTCAGGCATGTGTGTGTTGTTTTTTAAAGAAACAAAGTCAATCAGCTGCTTCTACTCACCACGCTGGGCTGCAGTGTCAACGGTGTCTCTACTCTGTTAGATGTTTTGCCACAACATCTTTTTGGCAAGGCTTAGAGGGCTTAGCAGGTTTTAAAGCAGTAGACAAACTGGTGATTTTAACATTATAAAAACTGGAAATCTGGCTTCAGTACTGATGTAAAAGCAAGCAAGTGTACTTGTTTTCCTCCTCAAAAATCTTTTCTAGCACATCCATCTTTATCTACCTTGCTGTCTTTCATCCCGGCCAAATGTTGGATTGCTCCCGATATTCCCACAGCAATATAAAGTTCCTAGAAGGAAAAAAAAATGAGATGGTTTTGGTACCCACAACACAGTCTCAGTAAGTTCTCTCAAACTTTGCTCAAAAGCAGTTGCACACAGTAATTATTACATTAGTTTTCAACATTAAAGGCAGTTCCTTTCCATGCTTGGGGATGCAACGTAACTGTAGAAGGAGTATCCCAAAGGAGCATCGGGCAAAGAGATGAGGGAAGAAAAAATCACCACAAAAAAAAAAAAAAAAAAAAAAAAAAAAAAAAAGGGAAAAAAAAAAGAGAGAGAGACCTGCATCAAGCATAAGACACCATTCAGTTAGAGGACAGTGTTACCCATGACCCTGGAAAATGTCAACATAAATACTACGATAACCTACAAACGGCTAACACAGGTGTCTGAAGAGAAAACCCAGGGCTTTTTGTCTGAGGCTTCTAGGATCCTTCAAATAAAAGAGAACACGCAAAGCTGACATTCAGGTGTTTAAACCTTTAAAAAGTTTCCCACACAGCAACATATAAAACACTCTGGATACTGAAGCAGGCTAGAGCACTGTACACTTGTAGTGATAGCTTTGGTTATTTACCCCAGCCCTCAATGTCCATAAGCTCTAAAGCTTTTCTTCCCCCATTCACCTCTAACAGAATTTCTCTTTTAAAAATACCACAGTTAGTCCACATTCAAGAACATACAAATCTAACTCAAGAAATTATTTTGGGGGCCAGGGAGGGTAAGAGGGCCCAATATCCCTGTGCACCCAAAGATGTGCACTACAGTTGAATGGCTTTTGCCCTGGCTGAGCAGAGCCCAGCTGTGGAACAGGCACAGACCTGCAGCAGGGGCTGGCAAATGAAGGTGTGAAAATACAGAGACCATGCAGACTGCTTTCTTCTATACAGGCCTGATCGTCATTTTAGCAAAAAGAGGATTACTTTCTGATGTTTCTCCAGCTACACATTTCACCTGTTACATCAGTTTTTAAATAAGAATAGATAAATACAATCTATGAAATTTTTCTCCTGTAAAAATTCAAGGGGAGGGCAAACAGAGCAGGAAACAGATAAAAGGTTTCCTTTGAAATGAAAACCCAGCCTATGTATTTCCTCAAAAACACACTCAGAAATGTCTTAGCCTCACTAGCTTTTTCCCCAGTAGATTACTACTAGAAGTCAACCCATTTTAACCACAGCTGCAGTGTAACATAATACAGCATATAAGAACTTATGATTAAGAACGCAATATTTTAATTATACCAAATAAAAGAACAGGGATTATAGGAGAAATTACTCTAACATCATACAGTCTTTAGTACAAGCTCTTTTTAAGAACACATTACTGTAATTTCATTTATTTTTTTTTTCAGAGCAATTCATTAAGTGCCAGCCATCTAGACTGCCAGATACTCTTATCAGTCCGTTTAACTTTGTGAAGTTGAGTCTCTGGAAAGAATCCAGCTCACGAGGAGCCAGACGCCTGTGTACAGATTCTATTAAAGTATCTAGGAAAGACAAGGATGTTTCATTAAAAGGACATTTGTAAATTGTCAGTCTTGTCTAAGCAGCCTTTTTCATGCACTTCTGCCAGGCCCTTCTAGGTTACATACTTTTGACTCTCTGGATAAAAAAAACTGGTCCATGCAGTAGGCTGTAACACTTAGTGTATCACCTCAGTAATATTTTCATACAAGAACACATAGGACAGCATGTTTCTTATAAAAGCTCTACACTGCTTCACTCTTAAGTTTAAATCTACTCTGCAGCTGAGGAGGGAAACAAAGGACCTACAAGGTCTGAATGATAAAGATTCAGTACTGTTCTGTACTTCCCAAGGACAGAATTCAACTAGTTGTCCAAAGACATCATGAAAGACTCACAAAATTTGGATCTCAAAGCTCCAAACAAGGGTTTTCCCTGAAATCATTAACTTCTCTCACAGCTTTTGCTGAGTCCTGTCCTTTCTACTGTGTTCAAAGCTCCAAGCCAGGATTGCAGCCTCCAGCACTGTGAAGTGCGGGAAGCACTAAAACTGCTCTGTGGCACTGATCTGCTTTCAGTGTCCCTTCCCTACATTACATGCCATGCCTGCCATTACACAGAGTGCACATGAAGGTCTGGAAGGAGCTCAGTCCTTCAGAGCTCATCTACACAGGAAACCCATGCCAAGGCACAAAATGGCATGTATCAGAGTCCAGACCACACCTCTCAGATGCCAATGAAAATGGTGTAAAACACCCAACTTCAAGTTCCTGCTTTTTGGAATCCATGGAGGCTGGTCTGACTGCTGTCAGGTGGCAGATCCACAGCCTACAACTACAGGCACTTAGGTCAAAGTCCAAGACATGGAGTGGAATTTCTCAGCTCCCTAGTGCTTCGGCACAGGCAGGTTTTCACTGAAGAGCTGCTGCCAGCGTCGTGCCACAGGACACTGGTGTAACAAAACAGCAGGCAGATTGTGCACCAAGGGGTGCCCTGAACTGTTCCATACAAGATGAAGCCCCAAAAGCAATTAAAGACAAGGGAAGAACAAGTTTTGATGGCATAAGAGCATGGCACCATATTAGACAATGATTTTGCTTCACAGTAACTCCATTTCAAACAGGAAATAATTACTGTATATCACAGCATCATGACAAGCCCACAAAACTCTAGGAGGAGCCAGGGCCCTGACAGAGATCTCTAAGTCTGTAAGCACAGATTTTCATCACAACACTAAGAAACAACATGCCAAGTCCCAAATGTATTCCTAATCAAAGGCAGGATTCCAAATCCAGAATCCAACTTCTTACGTGCTAATTGAAGTACTTATCTGGTACTGGCTTTTCCATAAACTTTCAAAAACTTGACCACAGTAAGTCTTGTAGGAAGTCATTAAAATGAAAAAAATCACCTTTGGTCACCCCCTAAGCCCTTATTTCTCCTTTAAATGTACCCACCTTACACATCAGCATCTACTGCAAGCCCGTGAGACTTCACCTGCATGGTTTTGCATGACTGGCTCCAGAGTTCCCACAGCCGGTTACAGGCTGTTTGGATGACTGTCACCATGGTGCCCTATGTGTATGACTAATTGCCAGTATTGTCCTGTGCATACTAGTTCTTCCAATTATTCATAAAATAATCTGTGGCATATAGTTATCACTACATTTCTGCTTTTATGCACATTTTAAAATACTGCCTTGGGGCACATCAGGTACATTTGCTTAAGAGAACCACAAGAACAGTGTTTACTTGCAACTCACCCTGACTTTGAAGGCTGCCCTAAGAGACTACTGTGCATCCTGCACAGGGGCAGCACAAGATGAGGTGGTTACTTTGCAGCTATTATTGATTTCTGTGCCAGCTTTTGAATTACATTGAGAACCTTCACTGTGCCATCAATTCATGGCCCTACCAGCAGCATGCTTTTAAACTGGCTAGTTTAATAAACCCCTTTGGTCCATTTACGCCTTTTAAAGGCAGCTCAGATATTTTCTTTGCAAGAGTGAAAGGACAATGAACTTAGAAAGAAATCTCTGTAATGCAAAGTGCTTCATATAAGAGATTCCTTCCAATTACAAGCTCTCAACCCAATGAAATACACATACATTACACTGTATATCAAACAGTTATCCAGTGTGCAGTACTTTGATGCAGCTGAGTATGTTCCATTCAAGACACACACATTACTACACTAAACCCCAAATAGTTTCTTGTTCACTTTAAGAACCTTTGATCAGCCAAGCTATGTAATTACTCTTAAGCATGGTTAGGGTGTCTGCTGGAGTGCAGGGCCATACAGAATTTTTTTTTTCCTCTCTAGGGAAAAGCACATCAATTGCTTTCAGCTAAATGCACTCACATATGAATATTTTAGTACAATTTAATGTTTCTGCACCAACCCCAAAGGAGCAGAGCATCAATTTGTGAACATAGTTTTCCTGGAGTTAAAAGCTACACTGGATAATGCAGGATGAAAGGGGCTGTCAATCCTTTGCTTTTTAGCAAGTCAGAGAAAGGTAGTCTGCAAATTCAGTCCCAGCTGCATACAAACAGCTCTCCAAAGTTTGCTTCTCTAAAGGTACAACAGCCAATTATCAAAGGAGATATTCCAAAAACAATTTCTCAAGCATGGTCAGTTTTCCCAATGCTGTTCCCATCTGCTAGCTACCTAAGAGCCTCAGCCATTTATACAATGAAAGTGCACCTGCCAGCCTGTTAATAAAACCCACAAACATCATGCACTAACACCACCTTCCTACAGAGAAGCTAGATGAAGGTAGGAGAAATTAAGCAATGTACCATACATTTTAATACAGAAACTTCAGTATCTCAATATTCTTAGTATTTCAATATATCTCAATATTTGTATGTGTAACAAACAAGGAATTAATTAAGACCTTCTTGATAAACAAGGAGTAGGACACTTCCCCAAAAGAGTGAAGGGAAACAAAACTTAACAGATGCTAACCTAAGCAAAGTGATGGGAAGTAACACTGAGGAAGAGTGAAGCATCCACTTATTATGCAGTGAAACCATGAGCCAGTCAACCACTTTAGAGAGAACAAAACCAGGCAAGGTGAAGTATTTGATTGCTTTGTCACTGGATACAAAGAAATACAAAATACAGGAATAATGTAAATAACCTGATACTGTCTTTCCCCCTTCCTGCTTCTCCCAAAGCAAGATGACTACTAACAAGTGCTAAAAAAACCACTCAATGCAGTGAAAGGGACTGACTAGTAAAGTATCAGCTCAGAAAGTGTCCCATCCTCTCATAAAAGAAGTGAAGCAACAGGAATTTCACTGCTCTGTAGGAGACCATTCTGCATCTTCATGTATCTCTCTGCCAGGAAACGCCTCCTTGCTATTCAGTTTTCTTTTTCCTGCTTCTTATTTCATCCAGCTCCTGCATTTTCTACCTAATGTAACACCTTATGGTATTCCTGTTCTTCTACAGCATTGGTGCCTTTCAGCTGAATCAACATCTTCAGCACCTCAACTGAAGCTGCACCTCTACACCACCTCTTTTTCCCTCATTA